GTTATTATAACACATTATTTACTAATTAAGCAACTGTCATTCAGAGTTGTTTCCTAAATAGCCCATGATCCTTTCATTAACAATAGCTGGTCTGAGATTGACAGTCAGCCTGTCTGGCTGACAATGCCATTTTCTTGCCCCACTGCCTAGGCTTCTATGCAGCCTACACTCAAGATACATGTATGATATGAGGACAAGTGCATGGAGTACTGCATACATGGTATACATTAAGGGTGTCTGAGTGGAAAACCTGGTGCTAGGTGTGCCAGTGGAAAACCACTTACCCTGTAGGCACAGCCCTGGGCGTGAGGCTGTGTGTTGCAGTCCTTGCGTTTGCTCCATGGACTGCTCCTCAATTGGTCGCTATAAGGACAGTTAGCAAAAAATTGTATTGGTGGCTGCCTATAATCTGCCTAGCTACTACCTGAGTATATATACATGGTAACTGCACAATAAAATCAGACCTGTTTCCTGGTTTGTCTGGAGGTCTTGATTAGTTACTCCGTAGCCACATTGTCCTCTACCATGTTCTTTGGACCTCCTTGCTGGACAAAAGGGAGCCCATGCAGTATCACATCAATTCAGAAAGTCATAGGTACTTATGTGTTATTTCTGACTATATTTTAACTGAGAAACCTGCTTATCCAAGGGTTTCTTCTGATAGACAGTTTTTCTGCTAACCAGTACCTTTTTTACATCAAAAATATTAGGGAAAATCTTACATAGTTGTGGTTATAAGACAATGGGTTTTTCATAAGAAAGATTAGGCAAGGCAGAGAGGAATTATTTTACTAGATGTGAAAAATAATTATGTGTAGAATAGTATATATAAATTAATTTGAGTATCAATTTAGAGGTTATTTTAATTGATTTTTTTTTAATTCTCCTAATTTGATGGTTCTTCAATTTGTTTGTTCTATAAAGACTTTTTTAGCTTTTTTTTCTATGCCTGTAATCTTTTCTTGAATTTTTTTCCTTTCTTTTCTACTCTTTTGTTGTTTGATATTTTTCAAAAACATTTTTCATCTAAAAACTCATTTTTTTCCCTTATAGAGCCAATAAAAAGCAGAAATAAGTTAAAGATTTAAGACATTCTAGCAACTAACCCAAGTATTCTATAATCCTTCAAAATGCTTTTAAAATACTGGCCAAGTGGTGGTTATGATGATGAAC